TGTGTTCAATAAACTTACCTCATATTTCTTTTTCATCTTTAAAGCAACTGTAAGAAACGATTCCAAAGAACTGGCTTTAGCTAAATCATCTCGAAGGTTTTCATTTTCAGGTAAAACTAGACTGAAAAAAAATTATCCAAGCTCAGAACAATTCTTACAATTCTTTATTATATAAGCATATATTATTTAAATGAAACTAAAGTGAAAATTATAGACTTTAACTTCTTTTTTAAAACTCTTGATAGTTTATACTTTTAGTTTGAGAATCTATTTTTTTTTTACAAAGTGACAGTGTGCTTTCTATCAAATGGTAAAAAAGTAGATAGTTCTGCAAGACTTCTATGAACATGCAGTGTTAGCACATTACCAATTAACCCTTTCGAGATGGGTCACGGGTGAAAGGCCATGTCATCTCGTTTGTTGACTCGCATTTAAAATTTTATAGAACAACTATTTTGTGAATTATGTCAATAACTTTGGTATCAAACTGTAGATTATAATTCAAATTTTAGTACTATATATTACTCAATTTCTCAATTTAAAAGCAAATATTAAGAAAACAGAGATAAACAGATTTTTGTGTGTCATGTGGTATGATGAATGCAGCACTGGTTCAAATTAGATGTTTGTGAATTCAAAATACTAAGTCTATAGTTTCGTATGAATTAGAAAATCAAATTACTGATATTGACAAGCTAGAATATAAAATAAGAGTCTCTTATCTTTTCAATTTACTAAGATATTGCTCATGAAATATATAAAACACAGTGGCACCCCACCCACCACTTTCCATTTTTGGAAACACTCCCTTATATATACACTTACTTCTATACATGACATGAAAAACCAATTGGAAGCTGATAATGTCCCCCTAGTGACTTTCTTAGCCATTTTAATGGGCTTGGCGCCATTTCTTTTGAACCAATATTTCAACGAGGTAGGGTGTGTCTTTAGTCTGCTTGAAATTTCATGTTTTTTGGACTAAAATACATCTTAGTTAATAAGCTTGATAAATTATAGTGGAATTCTATGGTATTAATGTAGTAATTTATGATTTTTTAGTTATTCAAATGTATATATAAAAACCTAAAAAAAATTATTTTGTTTCAAATCCTCCACGTGGAAATTTTTTAAAGGCTAGCAAGGTCGTAACTAGAAGAGATAATTGTTTGCTTTACTTCTCTTGTTACTGTTCTATGTTTTAAGAAAAATAGCTTTAAGATCTTATTTCAAAATAGCAATAATCTATATACAATGTATAATAATTGAAATGAGACTATTTAACAAAATATTAGTCGACTAAAACACAGCCAAGACCAGTTACTTTGTACAGACCAAAGGTCAGTTTTATGTTATTTAATAAGTGCACGTGAGCCTCATCATTGTAACTTCTGTATTGTTAGCCAGGCACGGGTGAAAGGTCAATATAATAAAAACAATAAATATACATATAAATGTATAATGTTATGAGATTTAAGGTATTTTGTCTAAACATTTATGTTTTCATGTTATAATTTGCATTCATTCTAGAATGAAAGAGGCATAATTTATGTTTATTTCCTAAATTTTTTATGGTGGTTGCGAGATCGGTCAAATTTACCGATCCCGTACAGAGATTAATTACTGAAAATAACACATAAAATATAAAGTTTTTTCTTAAGAAATGTTTGATAACTATCCAGACATTATAAAGATTTTGCATGTGAAATTTCAAAATTTTCTGATGCATAAAAGTATTTTTTATCTTAAAATGAATATTACTTTGCATGATAGACAGGCAAAATGTGAAAAGAAGAAAAAAAAAGGCATGACAGAAACACTGCTTTACAAACCTTAAGAGTTAATAAAAAAAATTTGATATTTTGCGTATGAAAGCATTGTAATGTTTACTGAGAATCTTCCAAATTTCGTTAACATTTGCTAACTAATTTAAAAGTTATAGCATGAAAATTATAATAAGCACAAAATGGTTACGAGGTCAGTCTCAGGGATCAACCCCATGCTGAAAGAGATAATCATAAAAGAACACGTTATATTCCTGAATATGTTCTTTACATCCGAAAGAAGAAAAATCTAGTAATATTAAAATGCTATTTAGTATATCAATCCATGCAACATAAAGTAATATTAAAAATGACTACGAGTCAATTACAGAAGCAGCAAAAATTATATACACTGGAAATGCAACCCATTATTCAACTTATATTTATACACAAAAAATCCACCAATCACAAATTCATCACATTCAAAAACAATATTGTAAGAATCACATTTATAAAGCACTTATAGAAATAAAATATGTTTGTTCTGTTGATAAGCACAAAGCTGCACAATAGGCTAGTTGTGCTGTGCCCACCATTTAGCTGCAGTTTTAATACAACTAAGAAAATATAGTCATCTAAAAATAGATGAATACATAAAAGTTTAAACTTAAAATTTTGTATGTTAAAACTGTATAATGTTATTTAAAAATATAATGAAATACTTTCAATTTCTTGTTTTTTAGATATATCTATTATAAAACCGTATCAAAGATTGACTGAAAAGGTACTTTTTTGTCCAATTGTTGTTAGCAAGTTCACTTAACTTTGAATGAGCAATGTCATTGGAAGTTCAGTTCAAGTATATCTCTACATTTAAATTTGATGACAAGCAGGTTATACTCCTTTAGGAAAATTTTCAAGCCAACTGAGTAAAAAGGATCTTCCTATAAATCTTGAAAGTTTACAACCTGACATCATATTTGCATCACAAAGGTCACAATAATGGCTAAATTTGGATTTAGAATAGGGTAGAATAGTTTTTTAGTGATATAAGCTGTTTATAAAATGTTTCATATTTTTGCTTTGTTAGAAAATAAACAGAATCAAACATTGTAGAGCAGGAAAGGATTAAATGGTTAATAAGCATGTACTTTTAGAAAAAATACTATCTTTAGTGTTCAAAATTGAAGAAGGATCATAAGGTGGAATAATGTTTTGAAAGTCTACTTTTACTGAAATTATAGTGCAATAATATCAGACGAAAACATCAAGTTGTCACATTGAATAAAAGAAGAAAAGGTGTTACATCAACATTTTTCTATCATCTTTGTAGTCAATTTTACAAACAGTTCTATGCATAAATTCTAAAATCAATATAGTATCGTCATAACTTATGCAGACCCACCTATGATGAAATAATTTAAAGAGATGGCCACGAACGAATGACAATGGACATGGATATTTCTTGACAAATTCCAAGTATTCAAGAGCCATTTTCCAGGCAGGTGGACTGATACCATGGAAAAGGGCAGGATTGTGTAAATTTCCCTCTATGAAATAAAAATAATTTTGTGTAAACTTTGAAAAGGAATGACTTAATTACTCAGAAAATATCCTTAATAGCACTGTTATACTTATTTTACATCATAGTTTACTAAACAATTTTAGGCTTAAGTATTTACACCAATTGAAAAATCATTTGGCTAAGCTATTAGTTTAAAACTCTAATAAAGTAGGTTTATCTAAGGCTTAAGTATTTACACCAATTGAAAATCATTTGGCTAAGCTGTTAGTTTAAAGCTCTAATACAGTAGATTTATCCAAGGCTCATTTATCAATCACAACTTGAAAGAAACTTAATATAAAAACCTTTATTGATTCCCATGGGTCAAAAATTAAACAATACATTTTAGTGATTAGTAAGCATTACAAGCATTTGTGATATAATAAAATCCCATTTCACTGTTCAAATCTGAGCACAACTTTAAATAGTCTAACAGTATTTTTCTTGGGTTATTACTTGGTTTCCTACACCAAATCAGTCTACATATTCCTTGTAAGCACTATGGTTGCATGTGAACACTAAATTGCTTTTAAAAAAAATTGTGGCAAATTTTATATAGATGTGCAGTGTTTATTTTTCTTCCATTCAAATAAATCAAAGTAACCCTTTTAATTCAAATTTTAACTTAGATCAATATCATAAGTTCTGAAAGTTTTTATGGAAAAAAAATATCTCAGAATTTGATCATATATTTTGAACCAGACTGTTTTTATTTTTATCTGAACAGCAAGTACAGAATCATAAATCTTCTTTTCGTTAACTTCTTAAAAGATAACACATAACATACTTTTGAATTTAATGATTTATCTATTTACACTCAGATGATTTTAATCATTTCTAATAATTTGTATAATTTTTTCATCTATAATCTTTTTTTTCAAAGCATATTTTATTAATTTTAGGATGTCACTTTAAATTTTGTTGCTAGTATAAACTAATACAAGAATTTACCTTCCTGTACCCCATCTTAACGAAATTCCACAAGTTAAATAATTTTGTATTTATAAACTTACTTTAATATCTGATAATCATCAACAGAACAGGAAAGAATCTAAAAAAATTTGAGAATAGTTGGTCGTTTTGATATGATCAAAATTTACCCTTAGAACCTGAAACTACACGTAATCACTTGAAGACTTGTTCAAGTAAGACACCCAACTATTCAAACATGTTTAATCAGGAAAGTAGGTTTTTACTAAATTGATTATACAAGTGTCTAATTTATATTAAAGTCATAAATGGAGGAAAGATTTAATAATTTGATACTTTTGGTCTCAATGTTTAGAAAACCAGTATATCTATTATCCAAAAATTGTATTACAAATATGAATACCTTACCTGCAATCATTACACCATCCACACCAGTTTCTTCTAAGCATCTTTGAATATCAACAAGATACTGTATATTTCCATTTGCAAACACAGGAATACTAACATTCTTTCTGAAACATAAAGACAACATTTTGTTGTTATGATAAATATTCTAACTGTAGTAATGCATGTTAAGAACAATGCTTTGGTTTAATTTCAGCATTTTTTTTTTTTTATATACAGAATAGTTTAGTACTCTGAAAAGTTCCTGGTTATATCTGTTCTCTAGGTACATATTTCACATAATCTGCATTCATTTCAGCAGTTATAGTTATTCTATCACAAAACCATGTTATTTTCAGGTACAACTGGAGCCAACAGATGATTATTCAAAATCACAATACCAGGAAGATCCACCAAGATGGCCATTATTAAAATATTAGCCACTTCCCAAGTTTTTCTGGAACAATACAGCTACTGAATCAAAGAGAAAGGTCACATCTTCACACGACAAAATAATGCAGGAACATGTCTATGCCTCACTTTCAAGTAAGAGCACAGTTCTAGTGCAATATCCCACAATCCTAGATCTTTCTTATAGATTCAAAGGAAGATTTAATTCCCAGCTCATACTAACTTATACAAACCTCTGTACCACTCCTCTATTTGAGCATGATAGCATGACCCATGTCCCAGAGAAAAGAAGACACAGAAACTTTGCCAAAAGTAAAGGTTCTATGGATGATATGCCACCTTAGCCCAGTGTGAGGATTAACACAAGTTTATGGCTACTTACATCCTGTTTCCATGAATATTAGTCAAATGCAGAACACCTACATGAAAGAATAAAATCATGCAATTTTTAACAGCCACACTTTCAATTTCTTTGTCTCAGGACCTTTCTAAGTATAAATCTTCAAATTAACTTTAAAGAACAAATTAAGCATCTAACTAACATACTCATGGTTTTCATTAATCATGTCCTTTGGTGACACATAAACCATCACCCTTATACGTGGGATAAACAAAGAGGCTCCAACAGGAAAACAAACTAAACAAAAACCATTAGTTAAAATATATGTATAAATCTAACACCATAACCTACAGTAGTAACATACAAGGTAAAATAAAACTGAATATGATATGAAATACACTGAACATAACAGAAACTGAGGAAGATACAGAGTTAAGTGAAACATAAATAAATTCAAAATACAATGTTATTAAACTGAACATAATGCAAGACAAAATATATTGGATAATTAACTTAAAATAAATAAAACAAGTAAAAGCATAAATGAATTTAAAAATTGGAATTTATAAAAAATAAAACAAAGTAAAATTCAAACAGAGTAAATTAGAATAAATTTCAAAATGTCTCCACTACCTCTTAATGCAGATGCAGCCAAAATTTTTGCTTCCACATATTCCCAATAGTATGTGATATTCATTGATGTACTCCAACCCTTGCATTATGAAAAGGTGTGAAGTACCTCTTGGCTTACATTTCCAGGAACCACAAACTGCTTCACAGATTGGCTACCACACTTCTATCGCTTGTAATGATGGTACATTATCTTGGACTTATAACAGACCATACAATGCCAGATATTATGTGCATCAGTTTATGTTCCACATTGCTGCACAGCAAGTAGTGTTTAAGCTATATCTGGTTTGTGGGTTCTTCATTTGCTCTTTTTTGAAGTTGCTGAATACTCATTTGTGATGTCCTTCCACAAGCAGAAGTTTCATTATCCATGCTTATCAGTACCATTACTGCGATGACTTTGATCACTGCAAGATGTTCGGGATCTAAACATATAACAAAAAGGACCATCTCCCATTGGTTAGAGAGATAATCCATCCACTTTTTCCTGCTGTTGACAAAGATGATGCAGTGTAATTAATTAAAGTCTGAATATTTCAAAGTTAATTAGCCATTTCAGTGAACTTCCTGCCATACATGTTGTAACAGTTGTGTTTGACAAATACAAAAACTACAAGCAGTTCCTTATTTGTAATAAAGTATTGACATTCAGAAACTGGTAGTATACAGCTATCATGCTCTATATTATCCTTATGCAGGTACACCACCAATTTTTCAGCACCTTGCCAGATTATCCATTTTGTCAGACCAACAGAGGTCACATAATAATAATTCAACAATACATCTCTGACCCACTAATTATACCCCTCACGTGTCTCTAAAGCCCCATGGACTGCTAGAAACTTAAATAAAACAAATATTAAATGATTAAAGAAATTCATTAGTACAAGTATAAATGAAACAGGTCTATTAGTACCGTATGAATGAAAATGGTTTATTAATTAATGTATTTACAAAGAATGTTGCAGTAGTACCACTTTCAAAGTGGCAAATTTTAGAATTTTACCGGAATTGTAGAGCTAATCACAAAGGTCTGGAAGTTGAGGGCTGTCAGGATTACTGTCTGTTTCATCATGGATTTACGATGTTACAGGAGGAACACCCGGGGTATTTGAAGTTGAAGCCACAGAATTATCAGATGTAGGCCTACTGCTCTGACACACACATTCTTTTTGCCCATGTTTTTAAACATTTCATCCAAGCGAAGTTGTTTTATGTGCTTTAATCTTTCCCTGTGTAATGCTTCATACAGCAACTGAAGAGTCATTAGCTCTTGTTCTGTCATGAAGGTAGTTGCTCTAGCCTACTGATTAATTCACCTGTCAACTCATTTAACTTGTCCATAGTAAGTCTTTCAGCTACATCTGTTTTATCTTCATCTCCGTCGTCTTCATCACTTTCATTGTTTTTATCGGGATTCAGAACAATATCCATAATTTCAGAGTCAGTATAATGATGAACAACAGGAGTTTCTTTGTTGACATTCATCCACTCAGCCAGACTTTCTTCATTAAGCTTACTTGCTATACCCTTGGCAGCAGGTCCCATAAAATTTTTTGCATACTCAAGCAACTCATGAATAACTTCTTTCTCCTTTGGTACATTAAATTCTGTAAAGTTATTGTCAACATTGTCTACAGATGTGCATTGTGCTTGGGTTTCAGACACAAAAAACTTTTTAGACCATTCTAAGGTAATTCAGTGGTAATCCAGCCATTTTTATTTGCACAGTATATTACCGGGTAAATTTTAATGCTTTTTAAGGCCCTAGGACATTTACTTTTTCCTATCACCAGTAGCTTACATCTGCTGCATTTGAGCACCCTAGGATGGTAACTATCCTTAGATTGTTTGAATCCTGTGGGACATTCTTCGTCCTCTGCTGTTAATGTCCTTCGTGGTGTGCATCGCCAATATAATGCAGTTTCATCTGAATTACACGCTTGCTCAAGACCGAAGTGCTCGTCAGCTACAAGCTTAGCAAATACGTCCACATACTCGGCAGCTCCTTTGTGGTTTGCAGACAGGTTTTCACCACACACTTTAAGCATGGAAATTCCATGACACTTCTTAAACCTTTAAAGCCATCCTTCACTATAATCACACTCATGTTCTAACTTAAGTTCTTTATGGAACAACTTAGCCTGTTCTGTTAACATGCTACCCGACAAGTCCACTCCATCACTACGACATTGTCAAAACCATTCCATCAACAGTCAATCATTGCTTAGTACTCTTACCATCTTTCATAGTTTTTCCTAACGATCATTTGCTTGGAATCACTGTCTGCAAAGAATTTCATTATTTTGTCTCTTTGGTTCTTTAGATCATAAACAGTTGATGAACCAATACCATACACATCACAAAGTTTCCACACAGAAACACCACAGTCAAGTTGTTTCAACAGTTCTACTATGTTTTGTATCATTACAAACTCGTGCTTATGCTTGACACCATGATTGTCAGTTGGCCATTGCCTAGAAGCCATAGCTAGGGTTAAATGTAAGCAAAATAAGCTAAGAATTGCACAGAACCGAGGGATCACCAACAACAACTGCAGTTGTAAACAATTAACTCTTTCAAGACAGAGGCACATGATGCCATCTTTAAATTATCTCTCTGTTGACATGAATAAAATATTTAATTAAACAACTTTCTTTAAATATTTTTTTCAGAAAAAAATGTTATTTTCAAGTACATTATATATTTAATTCTGTGTTGTAAAAAATTGAAGAAAAAATCGAAACTAAATATTCGTATCTTGTTAAACTACATATTCTTGGCAACATTCATGAAAAAATTAAAGTAATTTGATCCACTAGTTTAATATTTATAAGAAAATTTTCACAAGAGTGATGTACCTATTTAAAATGTAAGTAGTCTGTCCCAAAAGAGCATGCGCCTCACACAATGCCATCTGTGGCCGCCCAGTGGACTAATCTGGCAGTTGCAGGAATTTCAAGTGCAGTCTCATAATTTTTTCCAGATTTAAGAAGGGACGGAACATCAGTTGCCAGAAAATCAGTGGTATACTGTATCTGTAACATCACAATTACAATTCTACTATCACTTTTCAGTATTTCAATCAAAGCACTGTTCTGGAACTGGAATGCTTGTTCAATTTTCTATTCAAAATGAGTATCAGTCTTAGTCAAAGCAAAAGGTGGTATAAATATCTTGAAGAAATTGATTGCATACCAATGATAGAGTAATTTAAAAGCCTAAAAATGTGTGCGACCATCTTACTTGGTTTCAGGCTGGGGTCAGTCCTTGACCATTGCAATATTTTGCAGAATCAGTACCCAATGTTTATGAGATAGAAAAAATATTATATGTGCATTAACACACATGTTCCTGGTTTCATTTTCAAGTCTGCATCTCTGAATAAATGATAATTTCTTTCACTGCTGCCCTCTAAGTGTAAGCTCTATCAGCCTCTTAAAAGTGGCAGAAGTTGTTACACAAGCTGAATGGCATAAGGCATAATTCATACAATCCTTCTTTTCAGCTTAAGTTGCTAGTATCTAGAAGCTAAATTTAGAATATTGAGCCAAATGGTACCTTCCAATACATCTAGGCATCTGTTCATTCACAACAAAGGAAATTCATCAATGTACATTACTGTATTCACCCACATGAAATCATGTAAAACCTTTGGTATTCATTCTTTCCTCTATACTACTGGAGACAACCAAGCACTTTCCAATGGTTGTATTATTCCACTCTTCAACATTTACTCAATTTCAGCATTGACAACATCCCTATTTCACCTGGTTATGTGTAATGATGTGTTACTGTTGTTCTACTCATTCAGCTAACTGTTCCAACAAACACATTAGCAAACTCAATGAGCAATTCACAATGATCATGTATCTGGGTTGAATTCAGATTGACAGCACAATCATAAACCAGTGACTTCAGAATACAGGAAGCCACGTATTCACTTTTGGATTCAGAACAACTACAACTGTATCAAGCATGCATGGCTGATTTGTATCAGTTCTGTCCCCATTATTGTTCTGATTACTATTCTAAATTGAAGCTAAACACCTGAATGCCCAAAATTATAGATCAGCACCAAATCTCAGACAGATAAGTGGTCGAGCAAGTGCAACATGGTCTAATTGAGTAGCCAATTAGTTTTAAAAAATCTTGTATCTTCATGCCAATTAAAAATGTGTAAATGAGTCCATATTCAGTGCAAGCATAAACATATATCATAACTGGGACAAGGAAATATTTAAGCTGGTCAAAATAACCACTAAATCTAAACTTATTGTACAAAGCTGACAAGACAAAAACATACTTAACAGACAGCCAAGAAAATTTCATGAGGTTTCCCCTGACCAATTTCAACTGAAATAGATGGTACAAAGAGCTGCTTCATGTAAAAGATTTAGTTATTTTCTTGAAGTTCTTAAGCTTAAGTTTCAAGCCAACTGTTGTAATTCTGGAAGTCATATAAACAGTAAAATCACTATAGCATTACACCATAGTGGCTTTAAAAAAAAGATAATTGTGTCAATCAAATATCGTTAGAATTAAATTTAAATTACTGCCATTTCCAGTGTTTTACAAACACTTATACATTATGCATTGAAGATCTCTACCCTATTTACTTCTAATATTAAAATCAAAATGAAAACCACCGTTTGAACTAAAATAAAAAAAAATATAGATTTTCTTACCACTGTTGAGAATGATGGATTGTGAATTATATAAATACTTACTTCACGGCTTTGATGTGTTCCCAGCTAGCTAACCCTGTCAATGGCCCTTTCTGTTCCTTCGTTCTTCCGTGAACAGTCAGCAACTACGGTACAAAGTCATATCATTCATTTCATGTTTCTTTAATACTGGAACATTATAAAACTCTACATTAAGTCCATTGTAATAACACTGTTAATTCACAAAGAAATAGTTTCACCCACAATTACATTATTTCAAATAATCATAAAATATTTATAAAGAAAATATTTTCTATAGAGAGTAATTTTTGGTAGGGTTCATTAATAGAAATCCAACAAATTTGTAAAACATAAACTCCTGTATTGAAAATCTTCCATCAACATATGAGAATATCTCAATATTGTTACAAATATGAAAATAAGTCATCAACAAAATTCTTTGGAACCACATAAACTACACCATATAATTTAAACAACTCCTGCATTAATTATAGACCTCACCCTAGAAGTTAAGGGTTAGTGTAATGAAAAAGCTAACTTTGAGGTATTATATATTAAAAGTTGTTTTTATGACTGAAATTTAAAAGATATGTTTGGGACCTGATTGAGTTTTTATTAAGATATATATATATATAAAATATTTTAATCTACTTTTTTAACTACTCTTGGAGCATTATTCTTGGAGCAATAAATAACTTGTAGATGTTTTGAAATACAGAAACAAAACCAGTTGAAAAATTATAGACTGGCTTGCAAAAAATGTCCTAAGTTCAATATATTTAATAATATTATACTTAAGTTTTCATTTCCTCACAGCTGTGAAAATCAGATAATCTGTTGCAACAGACAGTTATAAACTAAGCCTAAATATGTTATTAAGCATAAATTAACAGTAAGTATATCAATGAACTCATTACTTTTCGAGTTTTGCATTATCTAATTACTAATAGCTACTGTTTACAGTATTTATTATATAACCTGAGTAATTTTTACAATACTCTAATGTGTTTAATTCGTTAAATACTTGTTTTTATAATGTTCACTACCAGTGGGTCCACTTATTTTATCGTATTGAATAATTGCATATTTTTGCCTATTACAGCACTCAGTGCAAAGAAGTGAAAGAAAAATTGAGTGAAATCACTCATTTTCTATGTAAACTACATAGTGGACCCCATCAGTAATTAGCAGAACATTAAAGGACAGTAAGGGACCTTTTGGTCCTTCTAGGCTATCCTATCCACTAAATTAACTAAACTCTTAAAGAACACAAAGCCAACCCTTATCATTCAAATATTTATCAAGTATTCCCTTAAACTCATTTTAATTAACTGCATCTACCACATCTGATGGTAATCCATTCCAATGGGCCAAACACCCTGTTAGAAAAAAAAAAGTGTCTTAGTTGAAATTACTATTTCCCCACCAAAATTTATACTTTTGTCCCCTAGACTTACCATTTTCACCATTAAATATGAAAAAAGATGATGCATCAATACTATCAATTCCCTTAACAACCCTAGAAACCTCAACAAGATCCACTCTAACTCTTCCTTTTTCAAAAGAAAACAAGTTCAGAGATCTTAACCTAGTCTCATATGATAACCTTTCCATTTCAGGTACCATTCTAGTAGCTCTCCCCTGAACCATTTCCAACAATTCAATGTCCTTTCTAGATTAATTGCAACACTTAATAATATTTCTAATTTTTGTGTGATTCGTATGTTATTAGGGACCATAGAATATAGGAATAATAGCATAGAACTATACACATAAAAACAATCTTTTTAACACATGCTAAGATAACATAATGTTGTTAAAATGTTCACACGCATGCAAAGTTCTTAACATCTTACACTTAAGTAGCACTATGCATGTTAGATTTCAAATAGACCTGAACAATTACACCGATTAGTATCAAGCAAAATAACTATTAATCAAAAATTATGATTAAATCAATTAATTTCAAGAAAACAATCAACTAATTGAAATTTATGGAAATACTTGCTTACGTACACCTACTTCTGTCTATGATGTGTGAATAACCAATCAAATGATCAGAATGCCCCCCCATGTGGTATTGTCAGTCTCTAGAAGGTGGGAAGCTCCCAAGATTATTTCCTTATGACGAATTTCAGAAGGAATGGGCTAAGTGAAAATGTTGTTCAAAAAACAATATTTTTGATTTACCCAAATACAGTTTAGTTAATAAGCCTGATAAATTACAGTGGAATTCTGCAATATTGATAGATTAATTTATAATACTTGGTTATTTTAAAGTGCATAAGTAAAACCTAAAGAAATTATATTGTTTTACATCCTTCACATGCGAAATTTGACAAGGCTTAGAAAATTATGGCAAGCAGACAAACTTATTAGTTTTGTAAATATAAAAACATTTGTAAATATAAAAAC